CGCTCCCAATGTGTGGCTTCATAGCTCAGTTGGTAGAGCATCGCACCGGTATTGCGGAGGTCACGGGTTCGAATCCCGTTGAAGCCCTGATTTTTTTGCTTGATCATTCTTCACTTTCATATAGGTCATATTATGAAGGAGTACGCGAACCCACAGGAAAAGGAAAAAACAAACACGTACAAATTGTGACTGTAAATCACACCACACTAAGTTTGTAAACAAGGTGGTTCCGAATTTGAACGCAAATATAGGCGGATTGGTGAAAAAATGGCACGGATTGGTAGTTTGCTTGCCCCTATTCACCCCGCCCATCTGAGGATCAAGCAAATTTAACTTGTAGGCAACTTCCAGATCCTGGTGAAAATACCCATCAATCTTTAAATCATGAATACGTTGTTTATTGTGAGGGGGAGGCAAAGCGCAGATGGATGGAGGGGGATTTTTGCCCCCTACCCCTTCCCCGTTTACGCCTGCAACGCAGGGTATAATAATACTAAGAGTGAAACTACTTCCGAGTCAGTTGTCTATTTAACAAATTGACGTCAGTTTCTCATGCGTCTGTCCTGTTATTGATCATGAATTTCGTCGTAACATTGTCAAAGTAGCTCTGGATCCACGAGGCGATAGCCGAGCGGATCCGCAGACTACTTGACAATGTTATGACGAAATTCGTGGTCAATAACAGGACAGACGCATTAAAAACTGACGTCAATTTGTTTTTCACAATAACAACTTGTCAGATTGCCCGCCCTCGCTCGTTGACGCATCGCATAAATTATAAATTCATGTGTCTGTCCGCTTATTGACAATTGAAATTAGCCAATGAGTGCGCGAGAATTTCTGCAGTTATCGTAAAGTATGATTATGACTGAAATCCATCTTTATTTTCTTAGAATAAATCCTCTTATAATGCGCCCTGTAATATTAGTCAAGTATTGCATGTAAAAAAAGATAGAAACTTGTTCAACATCGGTTGAAACTAGCTAGAAAACCTACTTTCAAGTCTTTGAAGACTGCATTCAAAAGTTGCTGTAGATACTGTGGAACTCCGGTGTAATGTTTCCAACGAAGTCTCTGCTGTGACCAGCGGTATTCTTCAGCCCAAAAGTTACAGTTCTTGACCAGTGGTCGGGAACGCTGCTTAAGGAAGGCGTGGGCTCTGGGCAAAATGCGCCTGAAGTTTAGAAGTAATAAATGTTGACACTTGTTTTACTTAACGTACCAAGAAATGAAGCGAGACACTCGATAGGTTTTCCGCGTAAGTTTTTATATATGCTGGTCTTGAAGGCAGCGGACTTGGGCGTACACAAAATTGAGTCACGGATGATTTTAATTTAATTTCCATGCTATTCTCTTTTTCAGGGCTTCAATCTGAAAATACAAGTTTAAAAGTGGAAAATGTCGACATAACAGGCGGGTAGAACGAGTACATTCACGCAATAGCCCCTTTCGTGGTTAGCTTGCGAACAGGCTCCCAGCGAGGTGAGCCGTTTAAGCGAAAAGAAAAGAATTCCGCGAGTGAAGGGAGTGAAAGCATGCGCTCCCCCTCGTTACCATTCCGCTATCAGCTCTCCCCGCTCGCCCTAGACCACGCGGCTAGCTCACACTAAACCCATTAACAACCGGGAGCCTGTTCGCACGCTATGGTTAACTCTTCTCATTGGCATTACAATGCATGCTGAGGCAATTTCAGGCAGAACTGCAGAATTGCGTCAAATTGCCTGGATTATATTATAATGCAAATGAGTTAACCGTGAAAGGGGCCATTAACAAACCATTACNCCCCCCCAACCCTTCTCCCGCCATCACGCCCTCAGTGTAAGAGAAACTCGCACCGACGTGAGTTACGTACTTGGATGAGTACTTAATTTCGTGTCGCGTATACATGAAGGGACACGTTTTCTTCATCACATGCCTAATGTGGCGTACGCGACGCCATCTTGGATAGCATTATAAGAACTACGCATGCGCCATCCGGTTCCAGTCTCCCACGAGACTGATGTCACACCGAAACGAGTGGTCGTTTACATGACACTGTTGCAAGATTTCATACCGGAATGAAATACTCTCTCCTTCACAGCAACGGGGACGAACTCGCACCGGTCACTGACTTGTTTCTGGTGGTATCATGAAAACCAAAGCAGAGCCACGAGAGGGAACCTGAGTCGCCCTGGTATCACGTAAACACTCCCTTGGTGAACTTGGCTCATGGTTTCCTTTGATATTCTTTTGTTTCCCAGGTCGTTATTCAGAGCTTCATTCACAGTACAATGAGGCAGTGAACACAGTAAAAGAACAGAAGGAACTTATTACTCAACTGGAAACAGATCTTCTGAGTGTGAACGCTCTGCCATCTGCATTCCGTGGTCAGGGAGAGGTAAAAGAAGTTTTTAGGACTCCCTTTAAACTCTCGTCATAAGTAATTCTCTCTTAAATTCTCTTACGATAGTAATACTTTGTCACAGATAGGTAATGAGAATTAAGAAATTTATTATGGGACTCAGTGAGGTAAGAATCCAGTTACTTAAATCAACCAAATTGTTCCATTACGTACTTACTTCATCCTCTTCGCTCCGTGTGGAAAATGAGGCAACAACAATCCCTCTCCATTTATCCCTATTTTGAGCAGCATGTTAGGCCTCGCCCCATGTGAATTTTATCTCACTAAGCTCGGCCTTGACAGTTCGGCGCCAAGTGGTTTTGTCTGACCAGGCTACTTTTTGCCATATGTTGCCCAACGCAGGGCAATCCATTCTCAGTATATGGCTCAGCGATCGGATTCATCTGCGTTTGATGTCCACGCAGTGCTCTGGCAACCAGTTTTTCTTTTAAGGTCTTGGAGATTCCGTTGCCGGTCCAGTATTTTTCAGTGTACTGTCTCGAATCCGGCATCTCACATTTTTTTTTCCTATTATAAAAGAATCAACTTATACGGTACCTACCCCACCCTTAACCAAGTTATCAACCACGGTACAAGTTAGGTTTATTGTCGTGCCGTTTTATTTATCACAGGGTGAGGCAGGGCCTCCTTCAGAGAAAGAACTTGTTTCCAATGCAGTACAACAAGCCGTTGCACCATCAGGTACTATTTAATTTTTACTGTTGATCATTTAGGATACGTATGCAATACAAGTACAGCAGAGGTTATAATTGATCTGGTGCTATAGAAATGTCTGCGTCAGGCCAGTGGTCCTTACAGCCGGAGCTTCTCATAGTTTCTGTAGCATGAAACATTGCAGGGTTACTCCCAGCATTAAATTTATCGGTACCCATGTATACACCTGGTTGGAGAGAGGCACTGTGAGAGTAAACTGCCTTGCCCAATGACACATAGCATCGACCCGCGGCCAGGGCTCGAACCTTGTCGACTGCTGGTCCCGGAGGGGAGCGCACTAACCCTGAGGCCACCGCGCCTCCACACAAGCAAAGCAAATAATGCTGTTAACATTGTCCCATCCACCTTTGAAGCCAACTGCTGTCGCGTTAATTAGGCGCTTATAGGGGAACCGAATTGACCCATTTGATGATACAGATTAATAGCAGCGCTATTTTGGTAATGTGTTTATCTACAATTTTCTTTTTGTCACAGTTGGTTTATCAGGGGAGAACGTCGCAATGGAATCTATTCTTCCCATTGTAGCAAGCCAGAGAGAAAGATTTAAAATCAGAAATATGGAGTTAGAAGCAGTGAGTAGTAAGCTCGTGTAAATGAATATATTGTTGTTTTTTGTTGTTGCTAGCGCCTGATAGGTTGCGGGAAAGTTTCCACGAGTTTCGTTGCACCAATTTCACAGTTCTGCAAATCTGCGTGTTTGGTTTCGGAAGTAACTCGAAAACTCCCCTGTCAACATGGTTTCGCTCGATTGCCAGGAACTTAAGCCAAGAGCTACCCACGGTTGACCGTAATATTTCGAATGGCCAATCAGAACTATATGCAAAACTGTGTAACCAATGGTAGGCGCGGGAAAGCTTCTAACCTGTGACAGGCGCGCGAAAATGTTGGACCCTTAGAAAACGCGGGGAAATATTGAAGCTGTGGGGAAAACCGTGGCTGGCATAGTCTGTACACAGCCGCTCTATTTTGTCCTGTGTCCGTTGAGATCGCAAGCAAAAGCATTAATCGCAGGGGATTTGAAAAAGCAAAAACGCAAGGCGATGGCCCTGGGGAAAGCAAAAAAAACCGTCTGTGGAGAGACTACAGCTGGCATACGCGGGAAACAAAGTTGTGGAAAGCGCGAACAGTTACTTGCCCTGCTGACGAATAGCCTTCAGTTGTTTTTTCACTTGCATGTTCGGCTGAAAATACACTCTCAAGTAGAGCTCCCTGCAAATGGAAAAAATGCAGAAAATGTAGGTTTAACTTCACTTGAAGACAGATCTTGCTGTTTGGTTTTTCAGCAACTACGCCATAACCAGCAACAGATCAGTGTGTTACAAAACGAGGTGGACACTTTGCGGTCGGATAACGTGAAATTATACGAGAAAATCAAGTTTCTCCAGAGCTACCCAACTAAGGTAACGTTTTGTCAGCTGTTTAGAAATTTCTTTGTGTTAAAATCGAATGAAATCTGAAAAATGGCACGAGCCAAAAAAATTAGACACCAACTTATGAGAGATCTGCTAACAGTCAGATAAGGGAATTATTATATTGCTTGTGTTTGTAGCCGATATAACGAGCGCTCTGATTGACTAATTCTAGGGTATTATTCCCCCGTAACGCCCACGGGCCGATTACGGCCCCGCAAAACCAAAGCAAAAAGTACACCAAGGTCTCGGTCTGAGATTTTCCCGTAAAGACCTCACTTTCGGTTGATAAGTAGTTATCGATGCCTTGTGTGAGCATTAACGATAAACTTCTCCCTCAATTTGTACGTTAGAAAATTGCACTTGCACTTTGCACTTGTAAGTTTGACCATGTTGTCACCTGTGTCCATCTGCGCCGTTGATTCTCATTGTCACTTCCTAACGAGTTTTAACATGTTTTGAGTGTTTCTTAACAAATTGAACAGTTATCTATGGGTCACGATAATATCTAGAAATGATTTTTTTGTGTGTGGAACTGAGCTAGAAAAGAGAAATAGTTTTTAAGTTTCTAAGTGTTTGTCATTTTAACTTAGGGTGCTGGGGGTCGGGACGAAGAAGCTGCAGTCAGCAGATACTCGTCACAATATGAACAAAGGTTGGATCCCTTTTNTTTGTGTTAAAATCGAATGAAATCTGAAAAATGGCACGAGCCAAAAAAATTAGAGACTTATGAGAGATCCTCTACTAACCGTAGTCAGAAAAGGGAATTGTTATATTGCTTGTGTTTGTAGCCGATATGACGAGCGCTCTCATTAGCTAATTCTAGGGCATTATTCTACCGTAATGCCCACGGGCCGATTACGTACCCGCAAAACCAAAGCAAAAAGTACCGCAACGTCACGGTTTGAGATTTTCCCGTAAAGACCTGACTCTCGGGTAATAAATAGTTATCAATGCCTTGTGTGGGTAAATAGCGACAAGTTAAAGATAAACTTCTCCCTCAATTCAGTTGTACGATAGAAAAAACTTCGTTAAAATAATCTTTACACTTGTAAGTTTGACCAAGTCGTAACCTGTTTCCATCTGCGCCGTTGATTCTCATTGTTACTGCCGAACGAATTCTAACATGTTTTGAGTGCTTCTTAACAAACTGAACAGTTATTTATGGGTCACGATAATATCTAGATATGATTTTTTTTCTGATGGAACTAAGCTAGAACAAAGAAATATTTTTGAGCTTCTAAGTGTTTTGTCATTTTAACTTAGGGTGCTGGGGGTCGAGACGAAGAAGCTGCAGTCAGCAGATACTCGTCACAATATGAACAAAGGTTGGATCCCTTTTCGGCTTTCAATCAGAGGGTAAGTGGCGTCTTAATTCCACCAAGGACTCGTACGGCGGGTAAAACACATAACGGTTTCTTTTCCTGCCCAGACAAATGATTATCGCTGTTATATGGAAATAAGAAAGCCTGAAAAAAAAAATTAGTATTGAGCGGGATTTGAATCCATGATCTCTGCGATACTGGTGCAGTGCTCTACCAACTGAGCTATCAAGCCAACTGGAAGTTGGTTTCGTTTTGAGTTCTAATATACCCGCAGATGGTGAAGAATGCAAGTGATATGAAAGATCTTAGTTATGAACTGCGGGAAAAAGATGTTAAGACATAAATGACATGAATGTGTCTCTTACTATAGTTCAGTTCAGGAAGCTGACTCATGATCGCCAATACCACATATTTAATCACTACGGGAAGAGATTTCGCAGTTTTACAACAAACTAAGGTGTTGCAAGGAAAGATTGAAAAAGCATTTAAGCTCCGCGTGATCGTGTTGAAAAACGATGCAAATGTCATGCAGTGAGCTAAGGAACAACTTACCAACAAGCACTTAAAATTTTGTCAAATAAATCTCTTTTTTACATGTTCTCCCCTCGAACTTTGTTTATGTATTTGATGAATCACTTTGTTTGTTGGTCTTTCTTTGAGCTGGTTACCCTTAGCGACTTAGTGATAATTTCCAAATTCTGTGTAGGAGAAACAGCAAAGATACCTCGGGCTCAGTCCTCATGAAAAAGTAACTCTTAACCTGGTAAGTGGAAGAAAATTTTTGCAAATCATTTCTAATTTTTAATTTCAAGACCTTGAAGGAAGGGTA